TAGTTCATTCAATCCCATGTAATTAATTCTTGTTCTGCTTGATCTTGTGTTAGCAGTTTCATGAATGTCAGCTTCTCCGCTAGAGAACTGGGAATTCTTAGTTCATTGATAGGATCTCAAAGTTATTAAAACTATCTTGTCATTAAGCATTTTGTAGCTGAAACTACAGGATTGCGACACCACACCCAGCTAATTTTATTTATTTTTTTGACAGGCTGGAGTGCAGTGGTGCAGTTTTGGCTCACTGCAACCTCTGCCTCCCAGGCTCAAGCAGTCCTCCATCTCAGCCTCCCGAGGAGCTGGGATTACAGGCATGCACCAACATACCTGGCTAATTTTTAAATATTTTGTTAAGACAGGGTCTCACTGTGTTGCCCAAGTTGTCTTGAACTCCTGGACTCTTGAACAATCCGCCTACCTCGGCCTTCCAAAGTGCTGGGATTACAGGCATGAGCCACTGGACCGGCCTATACAACGTTTTATATTCTTACAAGTTTCTTTCCTTCTACATTTTCCACTTTCTCATTCTGGAACAATTCATTCTACTTTGTGACAAAATGATTCTTTTTTTTTTTTTTTTTTTTGAGATAGAATCTCACTCTTGCCCGAGCTGAAGTGCAGTGGCATGATCTCAGCTCACTGTAACCTCTGCCTCCTGGGTTCAAGCAATTTTCTGTCTCAGCCTCCCGAGTAGCTGAAATTACAGGCACCCACCACCATGCCCTGCTAATTTTTGTATTTTTAGTAAAGATGGGGTTTTACCATCTTGGCCAGGCTGGTCTTGAACTTTGACTTTGTGAACCACCCACCTTGGCCTCCAAAAGTGCTGGAATTACAGGCATGAGCCACTGTGCTCGGCCATCTCTTTTTCATTAATGGAAACATATCCTTCATACCTCATACCTTTTCTTATAAAAAACACCCTATATTCCTTGCATACTTTTCATACAGAGTCATTTCCTTTCACCCTTATTACATTTAGTAGGTCAATTATATATATTGATTTGAATTCTTAACCCTTCCTAGCCTCAAACTCCAGGGCTCAACAGATCCTTCTGCCTTATCCTCCAGAGTAGCTGGGACTACAGGCATGCACCAGCATGCCCTAATATTTGTATTCGTAGTAGAGATGGGGTTTCATCATGTCGGCCAGGCTGGTCTCGAACTCCTGAGTTCAGGTGATTCACCCACCTCAGCCTCCCAAAGTGCTGGGATTACAGGTGTGAACTACCATGCCCAGCTGACACCTTCCGTTTTCATTGTCAATCTAATACTGGGAATCACATCTCTTCTTTCTTTCTTTTTTTGAGACAGAGTCTTGCTCTGTTGCCTAGGCTGCAGTATAGTGGCACCATCTTTTCTCACTGCAGCCTCCACCTCCTGGGATCAAGTAATTCTCCTGCCTCAGCCTCCCGAGTAGCTGGGACTACAGATGCACACCACCACACCTGGCTAATTTTTGTATTTTTTTTTTTTTATTAGAGTTGGCATTTCACCATGTTGGCCAGGCTGGTCTTGAACTCCTGACCTCAAGTGATCCACCTGCTTTGGCCTCTCAAAGTAATGGGATTACAGGTGTGAGCCACCACACCTGGACCATATAGAAAGGTTTTAAAAGGCAGGGAGGCTGAGGTTACAGGCAAAGTCATCAATCATAAAATGGTTTGGCCCCAAAAGGCAGGATATCTTGAAGCATCTTGGCTAGGCTGGTCTCGAACCCCGATCTCAGGTGATCCTGCCTCAGCTTTCCAAAGGGCTAGTATCAGGGGGAGCCACCTGCAATATTTCAACGTAGGTTCTTTCTATTTTCCCTAAGTGTCGGCCAGTCTGGGAAATAAAGAGAAAGAGTACAAAGAGGAATTTTACAGGTGGGCTGCCAGGGGTGACATCACACATCAGTAGGTTCCGTGATGCCCACCTGAGCTGCAAAAGCAGAAAGTTTTTATTAGCGATTTTAAAAGGGAAGGGGGTATACGAACAGGGAGTAGGTCACAAAGATTACATGCTTCTGAGGCCAACAAAGATCACAAGGCAAAGGGCAAAATTAGAATTACTGATAAGGGTCTATGTTCAGCTGTGCACGTATTGTCTTGATAAACAACAGAAAACAGGGTTCAAGAGCAAAGAAAAGGTCTGACCTCAAATTCACCAGGGTGGGGTTTTTTCCCCACCCTAATAAGCCTGAGGGTACTGCAGGAGACCAAGGTGTATTTCAGTCCTTATCTCAACCGCGTAAGACAGACACTCCCAGAGTGACCGTTTATAGACCTCCCCCCAGGAATGCAATCATTTTCCTAGGGTCTTAATATATTCCTTACTAGGAAAAGAATTTAGTGATATCTCTCCTACTTGCACGTCCGTTTATAGGCTCTCTGCAAAAAGAAAAATAGGGCTCTTTTTGCCCAACCCCACAGGCAGTCAGACCTTATGGTCATCTTCCCTTGTTCCCTAAAATTGCCATTATTCTGTTCTTTTTCAAGGTGCAGTGATTTCAGATTGTTCAAAGACACGTTTTATAATCAGATTTCATATTGTTCAAACACACATGTTTTACAATCAATTTGTACAGTTAATGTAATCATCACAGGGTCCCAAGGTGACGTACATCCTTCAATTTGTACAGTTAATGTAATCATCACAGGGTCCCGAGGTGACGTACATCCTCAGTTTACAAAGATAACAGGATTAGGAGATTAAAGTAAGACAGGCATAAGAAATTATAAGAGTATTATTAGAGAAGTGATAAATGTCCATGAAATCTTCACAATTTATGTTTCCTCTGCTGTGGCTCCAGCCAGTCCCTCCGTTTGGGGTCCCTGACTTCCCACAACATGCTAGGATTACAGGTGTGAGCCACCATACCTGGTGAAACCCTGTCCCTACTAAAAATACAAAAATTAGCCAGGTATGGTGACAGGCACCTGTAATCCCAGCTACTCAGGAGCCTAAGGCAGGAGTACCGCTTCAATGCGGGAGGCAGAGGTTTGCAGTGAGCCGATGTTGCACCACTGCACTCCAGCCTGGGCAACAAGAGTGAAACTCTGTCTCAGAAAAAAAAAAAGAAAAAGAAAAAGAAAAAAGAAAAGACATAAGTGACTATTTCTCTACCCTTCCCCCAGATGCACATTGTGTATTTGGTGAAAGGCTGATCAAAGGCTGGGCATGGTGGCTCATGCCTGTAATCCCAGTACTTCAGGAGGCTGAGGCAGGTGGACCACCTGCGGTCAGGGGTTTGAGAACAGCCTGACCAAGATGGTGAAACCCTATCTCTACCAAAAATACAAAAATTAGTAGGCATGGTGGCACATTCCTGTAATCCCAGCTCTTTGGGAAGCTGAGGCAGGAAGATTGCCTGAATCTGGGCACTGGATGTGGCAGTGAGCCAACTTTGAACCACTGCACTCCAGCCTGGGCAAGAGAGTGAGACTCCATCTAAAAAAAACAAAAAACAAAAAACAAAAAAACCCACAAACAAAAAATTTATGGCTTCAATAGAAGCTGACCAACTGATCCCCATTCCCTATCCCCCCAGCCATAACTACAGTTTTAATGAGACAAGAGACTCTAGTTAAACTTTCTCCTGATAAACGCCCACTGACCATGCACTAGTTCTGGCTGAACGACAGAAATTACACATCTGCACGCCTTTGTGTACTGAAAAGAACGTTTGACAGATAAAATCTAACTGTACATTTAAAAGTTAAGTCTGCATCCCAAAATGAACATGGATCCTATATTACATACATATTCATTAATTCAATACACCTGTGTCAGGACCGCCTTCATGAATATTCACAGCTCCTCCTGTAACCTGTTAAATACGTGTAACCATTCTGCTGTCAGATCACCATAGAAGCTGCAGATAGAACTGATAGTGCAGAACTTAATTATTAATCAATTTAATCATTAAGATTGAATGCTGGTCAGGCATGGGGGTTCACACCTATAATCTCAGCACTTTGGGAGGCTGAAGCAGGTGGATCACATGAGGCCAGGAGTTCGAGACCAGCCTGGCCAACTTGGTGAAACCCCATCTCTACTAAAAATTTTTTTAAAAACTTAGCCAGGCATGGTGGTGCACACCTCTAATCCCAGCTACTTGGGAGGTTGAGGCACAAGAATTGCTTGAACCCAGGAGGCAGAGGTTGCAGTGAGCCAAGATCACACTCCTACACTCCCACCTGGGCCACAGAATGAGACTCTGTCTCAAAAAAAAAAAGAAAAAAGATTGAATGCTGTGTGTACTTCCAGGATAACTCTGAAAACATCCTCAGCCCTACAAGACATGCACAAGCAAACCAGTCCAGTACTATGTCTAATCCCACAATATCTTTAAATCAATGGCTCTCCTCATGATTTGTATCAGGCCTCCTCGTGGGAAAAGTTGCTCGTGATTATAGCCATGATTACAGGGATAGGAGTATTCTGCTGCTGCAGACTGTATTGCTGTTACACACTCCCCATGACGCTCCAGTGGATCTCTTCTCTAAGTCCAGGGACTTTCAAGTGCTGTCAACTCTGGGTGGATAAGTTCATTCCGTGGCCCCCTGACTATGCCCCTTTTCAATACAAAGTAGCCAGAATGAATCAGTTGCCTGTTTTCCATAGAGACAGAATGAAACTTGACAGTGGGGAGTTTGTAACCAGGGACCTCAGTTATTTAAATCACCCTCTTTCTTTTTCTTCCTTCCCTCCCCTCTGACTGCTTTACTCCTAACCTCTCTAGATACTCCCCTTCGGCAATGCCTGCTTATCCAATTATGCACTTAAAAAATTCCAGACCAGGTGCAGTGGCTCACACCTGTAATCCCAGGCTCACACGTGTAATCCCAGCACTTTGGGAGACCAAAACAGGAAGACTGCATGAGCCCAGGAGGTTAAGATCAGCCTGGGCAACATAGGGAGGCCCTGTCTCTACAAAAAAAATTAAAAATTAGCCAGGCATAGTGGCACATACCTGTGGTCCCATCTACTCAGGAGGCTGAGATGGGAGGATTGCTTGAGCCCAGGAGGTCAAGGCTTCAGTGAGCCATGATTGCACCACTGCACTCCAGCCTGGGCGACAGAATAAGATCCTGTCAAAAAAACAAACACTACTCTTGAAACAAATCAGGCAGGGAGCCACCGTGGAATTTTCCCACTTGGGAGGCGTAGGGCACAATTAGTCCACCACCATCAGGCCAAAGTCAGGTAATCACCAACCAGACCTCCGGAAGGGCAAATCTCCTAGATAGCCTCTGGAAGAGGATCCACAGACCTGCACGCTGCACCCCGCACCACGCCCACATGCCTCTCACACCAAGCTTCCCTTTAAAACTCCTACGGTGAATTTTAAAATGTAAGATGGTACACTAGCTCACCCTCCTCTTGGTTTTCTGACTTTCCAATTAAACCTGCTTTTCCTCCCACCAACCCTCACCCCTTGTGTTCTGGCTTTTAAGTGGTGAGCAGCTGAACCTGGGTCTGGTTACATGGCCACATCATTACCTATGCGTGCGCGTGTTCGAGTGGGCAGAATTATATGGTGACATCTGAATGGGGGAGGGATCTGTCCTCAGAACTCATTTCCTCTGTGTCTACAGTCCCCACTGACCCTGGGAGAGACATCAGATCATAGGACAATTTACGACGTGACAGGCTGTGTGCAGGAGAACAGAGCCTCAATTCTTCAAGACACCTGGAATCTCCCTCCAGCCCAGGGCCTGCCTGACCCATGCTGGGTGATTCACAGGTACCCACATGTCCTTGACTCCCCTGATATCATTCACTGGAAACACTCAACCCTCGGCTCACTACAACCTCCACCTCCCAGGTTCAAGTGATTCTCCTGCCTCAGCCTCCCGAGTCGCTGGGATTTCAGGTGTGTGCTACTATACCCAGCTAATTTTTGTATTTTTAGTAGGATTGGGGTTTGACCATGTTGGCCAGGCTGGTCTTGAACGCCTGACCTCAGGTGATCCACCCGCCTTGGCATCCTAAAGTGCTAGAATTACAGGTATAAAATGTATTTTTTAATATTCAGTCCTTTTCCAGGAAAAAATACTTTAATATGGAGACTTGAGCCTACTTTATATGAAGACTTGAGCCTGATGTCATAATAATATTATTAAATGCAGAATAGCACAAATGGAGGTATTCTTAAGAATTCTTTTGTAATGTAAACATTCATAGCCCCAATTGGTTCATATTGTAGATTTAGATATTCTTCCTTAAAACCAGAAATGCTTTTCTACCAAGACTTTTATTCATATGTAAAGAAATAACACCTAAGGAAACAGTGACTGAAAGATTTCATTCTAGGCAGCCTGGCAGAAAGAGACCTCGGTCACTCGGTTCTGTGGTTCCCTGGCATTGGTGGTGCATGAAGAAATTGCCTTATGTCTTTTATTTGTTTCAACTGCAGAATGAAAGAAGAGACATGTGAGATCTGTATGGCTTTGGATTCAGTTCCAAAGTTTGCCTCCTGGACTCAGAAACTGGCCATTGGTCTGAATTAGACTCTGAGAGCTGGCAGGTCACTGAGCCTTCCTTCACTTTGTAGATGATGAAAAGAAAAATTGGGAGTTCAATAAAACCGGGACTAAAATCGAGGTCTCCTGATTTTCCAAGTGAAGCCAAGATTCTGCAGTCACCTGCTGTGTCCCTCTTACACTCCTAGAGACTTTGCTATAAGCTATCTCCTCTCCAGCTGCAGCAAAACCGAACCCCCAGAACAGCCTTGACTTCAGACGGAAGAACTTGATTCAAATCACAGTTACCGCACATTAGCTGGGTGTCCTTGGGCAAATTGCACGCTCTCTATGCTTTCATTCGCTCCTCTGCAAAATGGGGCTCATGATGTCTGACGTGCAGTGGAGGCAGTGGTGTACGTATTTTACAGTGCCTGACATGTAGGAGCAGAGTGACAAACAGCCGTGACGATGGTGACAATGAGGAAAAATGAGCATGGTGGACTTAGACACCTGTCCAGAAACAGACCTGCACAGTGAACTCAGACAAGGGATGTTGCATGAACTTGCCTGAGCCCCACATGGGACATTTGTGGTTTTTCTGCCTTGGGATAGCAGAAGCAGTAGTTTTCCTGTCCTAGGTGTTGTCATGAATTTAATGAGCTACTGTTGGATCAATGCACCTTTGAGGTGGGATAGAGGAAAGCAGTAATGGATCTTGAGATTCAGGGATTTCCCTGAGGATAGGAAGGTATTACGTTGGTGCAAAACTAATTGCGGTTTTTGCCATTACTTTTAATGGCTTTTTTTTTTTTTTTTTTGAGACAGAGTCTCGCTCTGTCACCCAGGCTGGAGTGCAGTGGCACCATCTCGGCTCACTGCAACCTCCGCCTCCTGGGTTCAAACGTTTCTACTGCCTCAGCCTCCCGAGTAACAGATTACAGGCACGCACCACCATGCCTGGCTAATTTTTGTACTTTTAGTAAAGACGGGGTATCGCTGTGTTGGCCAGGCTGATCTCAAACTCCTGACCTGAAGTGATCGCCCATGTCTGACTCCTAAAGTGCTAGGATTACAGGCATGAGCCACCATGCCCAGTCAAACAGCATTACTTTTAATGAAAAAAACCACAATTAGTTTTGCACCAACTTAATAGATTTCTCAAAAGGAAAATGGAGATGTACCCCATGGAGACTGGAAGAATGAGACAGTTGATGGACAGGAAAAAACGCTGAAGGTAGAAAACAGCAGGGAAAAAAGAACGTGCCACAAGGGACCCCTGTGGAGAGTTTATCTTCCTGGAGACCTTCCTGGTGAGCTATGAAGAAATTATCCTTGACAATTTTAAGGTTTTTCCCTCCAATGTTGCAAGTCCCCACATCCACAGCCTAATCCAAGCTTGAGTGATAATATGACGGAGGACAGAGTGTCAGGAGAATAATGAAAAGCGGGACCTGCCTGAACTGTTCTGGAGGTAAAAGTAAACTATACAAACTCAAACTTCACCACTCCCAAGGGCAAACATGCATTGTCAGTGATGGCACCACTGATGTCTAGAAGGAAGACAGATCTGTTTTCCTGTCTTGTCTCATAATTTGAGAGGTTCTTCTCTTGCACAGTGGAGACCATCCTCTACATTATGACAATGACACAGAGCCCTTGTAGGTCCTAGCCTTCGTCCTCTCTTTACAAATGGCCCTTGTGTGGCCCATTGGAACTAAGAGAGGGGACTATTGCTCAGCCACATACCTCCCAATGACCACACAAAGACCAGAGAGAAGCTCAGAATTACTGCCCATTGGGATACCACAACTCTCCTAAGGATAAGTTACCTAAGTCTCAGTTTCTCCATCTGCAAAATGGAAAGAATAGGTCCTACCCTATATGGGTATCACATCACCTCAATGAGCAGCTCCAGTTTTATTAAGGCATCCTCTGCAGTACTTGGCATGTGCTAAAGAGTCACATTGTTGATTTCTCTCCTCCACTTCTTAGTAATTCTCACTGAAGTCAACTCTCACAGTTTATCTGTGAAAAAATGGTTCCAACAGCACCGTGACAGGACCTTAAAATTTGGGACCCCAAAGAAAACTTTGCACAAGGGGACATGTTGAGCCTCTTCAGAAAGGCTACTCAGCCAGGAAAGTGTTTCTAGGCATATGATCTAGCATTATTTCCAGGAAGAAAAAGTGACTCACTGGAAAAAGTGATTAGACTTTGTTCAAAGTTCCCCCTCCCCTTCCAAACTGGGTTCATTTCTACCAAGGTGCAAGGGGCTGGTTAAAATAAAAAGAGGCTTTAAGGGAAAGGAAATTCCAATATGTCAATCTGAGGGTTGTGAGCAGACAGAGAAGATGCAGTTCACCACTGGGGCTTGGTAAGGAGGGGATGGGGAGGGCCTTGGGGGTCTCACGGGAAGACATCTTGTGCACCAACCTTGAACCTTGGGTGTTTTTTTTTTTTTTTTACAGACAAGCTCTCTCTCTGTCACCCAGGCTGGAGTGCAGTGGTGCAATCACAGTTCACTGAAGCCTCCCAACTCCTGGGCTCAAGTGATCTTCCTGTCTCCTCACCAAGCTCCAGTGGTGAACTGCACCTTCTCTGTCTGCTCACAACCCTCAGATTGACATATTGGAACTTCCTTTCCCTTAAAACCTCTTTTATTTTAACCAGCCCCTTGCACCTTGGTAGAAATGAACTTCCTGAGTAGCTTGAACTACAGGTGTTCACCACCGCACCTGGCTAATTTTTATTTTTTATTTTTTGAGATGGGGATCTCACTATATTGCCCAGGTTGATCTTGATCTCCTGGGTTCATATGATCCTCCCACTCAGCCTCCCAGTGTTGGGATTATAGGCATGAGCCACTGCGCCCGGCAACTCAAGTGTTCTTTCTAAAAACCACTGGTGGTGACCTTGATCTCTTCAACTTCAGTGATTCCTGACCAGACACCAGCAGGTCAGGAACTCAGGATGATGACCTCATTTCCAGGCCACCCAGTGCTGCAAAGGTGGACAGGAGGCTCCAGATTCCTAGGGATTCAGCCTTCAGGTATCTCCTTTCTGGAATGACTACTGCTGGGTTCCCCTGTGGAACTCGGCTTGCTCTCCCCCAATCCTCCCTCCCCGTGGGTCTCCACAGATTGTCAGAACACCAGCTGGTTCTCCTCAGCCACTAAGTCTAGGACAGAAAAGAGCAGAGGAGTTATGGACATGGCTTTGAGGGTTTTTCCATCATCTAAGGGTTCAATATTTAGAGCAATATTGATCCAATTTATCTAGTGTTGTCGTGTTCCATTGGTTGCTAGACAACAGAGTTCTTTCTGCCGTGTACTCTGGATGGCTCATGGGAGTTGGACTACCAAAGAGATTACTTTGTGTATGTTGGACTAATGGACCATAGGTGCCATACATAAGTGTAGGTAGGGGGATACTGTTTTACTGGGCAGTGTTAAGACCAGTTTTCCTATCATATCTCAGTAATTGCAGTTCGGCCTCCAGAACGAACACGGCCATTCATTTTCACATTCCCTTACAAGATACCCTCTGAGAACAATTTAACACAAAGTTGTGCTGATGCCTAAAACCCTATGTCGTGTGCTTACCATTCCATCCTCATAAAGTTCAGGCCTGCACTGGAGCAAGGATGGATTTATTCCTCCTCCTTTCCACCTACCACAAGCCCATTCATAACCAAAAATAGCAACGTGGATTACAAAAGGGCACATTCTGGTTTGCACTTCAATCCTAGTATGGCAGGGTCTTTCTTCATTTCCCTTATCCCGTCTTCCCTGTTCATCCCAAAATTGTCTTCCCTGTTTTTGTTTTTGTTTTGTTTTTTTGGAGGCTCTTTTGTAAGTCCTTAACACAGATGCTTGCTGTGACTTTAAAATCCCGTCAGAACAGCAGGTAATGAGGCACCGTCAGCTTGGGCTACATGGTTCAATGACTTCACATTGATGACGTTTCTTTTAGAACCTGCATGATGACCTGACCTATTTTAGGATCTCTGCTTTCACCATACTTTCCTCCTCCATTTTTACAATTAGAAGTGAAGATAAAGGGGAATTGGGGGAGGATGGAGAGGGAGAGAGAGAAGAACCTGGAAAGTGATTCTCCAGAAGTAACATGAGAAGCTGCACATGTTGCCCATAACATCGGAACCACTGTCATAGGGACGATTTCAAGTCCTACTGGAAATGCATGAACTGAGGCTGTGTCTGCAAAATGGGAAGAAACTCCAGAGGCAGTTCTCTGACAAGCTCCCAGGTGCAGCCACAAACCAAAGGCCACATTTGGTATTGTTCAGCATTTTCCTCTGTGAGAAGACCTGTTCAGGAGAGAAGTGATCCTGTTCTTCCTAAGAGAAAAGCTATCTAGAGGAGAGAAAGGAAGGGGAGAGTGCAGGGAGAGGCAAGTGCAGGCAAGTGCAGGCAAGCACATTTATAGGGAACAGAAATGGAAAACAGATACTATGCAGGAGTATAAAGCATTGCCCTAGGAGCGCCTTCATCAGACTCTGGAGAATAGAGTTTCTGAGATCCAGGCAAATCATTCAGTAAATCATTGGGAGCTGCAGACTCATTGTAAGCAGCTCTAAGCAATGGCCCTCCTGGGCTGCCTGGTACCCTGTCTCAACATCTTTCTAGTGGCTGTGCAGTAGCCAGCATTCCTCTGATAACCATTGAGGTTTTCTTGAGTTGTCCACATTGCAGCTGCCCTGGGTGGTGGACCACCAACCTTCCTTCTTTCCTCCAAGAGTGCTACAACTCCTTTGCTAGACTCTCCAAATAGTGGCCTAGGTCCTTTTGCATCCTTGTAACTCCCACTCTCTTGGAACAAATTCCACTGGAGCCACTAGAAAATGGCTTACAGAGCCACCATCTCCCTCTTGGAGGTCCAGGTCTTGCTGCTCCTGCCAGGTAAGAAGCTCTGCTATAGATGAAAACACCCCATTGCTAGTTAAAGAGACAAGAACATCTCTTCAGAGGAATGCTGGCTACACAGTAGACTCAGAGAAGGCAAGAAAGAGTGACTAGAAAAAGGATGGTTTCTGATTTTGTCAGTCTATTTTGCAGCTCATAGAAGTTGTTGATTTAAATAATCTATTAAAAGACTTTGTGGCTGGGCACAGTGG